CAAAACTGAACTGATATGAATAAAATCATAAAGTCTGAGTCTTCCTCGAACTGTTCAGCAAAGGCTGATGAGCTCTAAGGTGAAAATATGATCAGAAAGCAACAAGGACAAAGATTCCCTTTATGCTCAATACGCTTCTTGTGCTGATGTGTTTACATGTGATTGTTGGCACATTAGTGTGTTGATACAATGCAAAGATGACATCATATGTCTCGCAGACTCTTCTGGATAACAAATGTATGCTAAGACAACAACACAGTAAAAACAAATAGGTGTTCATTCTGGTGACTTTGTGGTGTAGAGCCCATGCAGGACAAATGCAACAACAAAGGTTTGATCCCAGGCACTCACAGCCAACTTTCTTATTCTTTTTATACTACTTCATCAATTAAAAAGTCAAAAATCGTAACTATTCAATTATGACATAAATGAGTCTATTTTAAGGGTTCTTTTCATTTCGCGCAGACTGATTGAAATCTAACTGCACGTCCTGCACACAACAACAACAACAGATCTCCCTGTCCATAACAACAGCACATGTTGCGTAATGGAAACACATTTTGCAGAATCTTAAAGAATATATGCCAAGCTTTCTGTTTAGTATCACAGTTTGATATGTTTTCTGCACCCTAAAGCGTCCAGTCGGGGTTTTTAAAACTATCTTTAAGAATATCATCGAGCAAGTTATCTTTGCGAACTGAATGCACAAGTCTCATTTCAGGGTAAAATGTTCGGGGAGGTGCTGACCAAATAAGATCCGTCTTTGCTATCTGAAAACCACCTGCATCAATCTTAGCTTTATCTTCAACGCGTCCAGCTGCCACAGGAAGCACACCGATCAGTTAGCAAGACCATTTAGCCAAAAGGCTAAGCCATTCATTTAGCTAGTAGGCCATCATTTAGAGGAGAACTTAGGCTCGCTTGGCTGTCTCCGACACAGACAAACAGTTTTATAGCTTCCGTTATCAACTAAGAGGCGAAAGTTAGCAACAACTGCTAAGCTTGAGGTACCATAAGACTCAACACAACAATAATAGATGACGTTATAATAAACGGGTCATAGCGCTAGCTTAATGGTATGTGTCCAACCTTCACAGAACATCCAGAACAAACAAACACAGCAGAGAAGAAAAGGATACAGTTTGAAGCCCCTTAAAATCTCCTTGGCCCTGTCTTCGTCTGAAGACATTTCAGAAACCGTCTCTTTCGGTCCTTATAAGAAATCCAGGATCTGTCAAAATAACAAAAGCTCCGTTGATGTTAGCTTATCTTATTAGCTAACTACATTGAAAGTCAATGTTTGCAGAAAATAGCATAAACTATGTGTACTTGACTATATTGTTGGACCGCAGTTTAAATCTGATCCGATAATGCAATCAGCTTAATATACCAAGCTAACTAAGGGCAGGAAGCCTAGCCAGTCAAAGGCACTGGGCAACTCCGAACAGCCAATCATAGACTGGGAAACAAAACATGGGCGGGACTACAATGGATAGAGACGCGTCACCAGGGGCAACGCCGCACACGCTATGAGAGCACGGCGGTACGGTTCGTGCGTGTTCCTTTCTTTAACCTATATAACCATAGACTGATATAAACACACATGCAGACAACGTGAATGACCAGTTACAACATTTTTCTGAAAGCAAAACCCTTCCTTTAAAATGTCGTCCAAAACTGAGTGTAAGATTTAAAGTTTATGACTCTTGAACACAACAAACCCGTCATGAAATGAAAACAGCATAAATAGCATTTTAATATTTGGAAACGGTTTTAATCCAACAGTTTGAATAAATTAAGCTGGCTCACAGCATAGACCAAAGCATTCTGTCTGAAGAAACCTGTCATGCACTCAGGATGTGGGATGTTTCAAAGACAATAATCAACTGCAAAAATTGAACCAGTCTGTTGTTGTTGTTGTTGTTGTTGTTGTTGTTGTTGCAGACAAGATGGCGGACGTACAGGTCATCCATATCCAGAAAGTCATAGGAAAATACTTTTCAAATACTTAATTAATTTACAATAGCCTATATGTTGTCATTGTTAAAGTTAACACAAGAAAAAATGCCATGGCACAATGACTGATGGGTAATCTTGAAAATACCCTGAATATCCTGCCCAGTCCTTTTCTCAACAAACTAGGCTCTAGGGGCAGTGTCATAGCCTGCACAAGCACTCCTGAAAGTAAGACCGCCCAGAAATCTTTCTGAGCACACGTCCCTCACTGTCACAGCGGATCATCAGTGTGTCAGTGGGTATCAGCGTAGTGTTGTAGTCAAGACCACGCTAACCAAGACCAAGACATACCCAAGACCAGGGTGCTCCAAGTCCGAGACAAGACCAAGACTTTTAGAGATCGAGATAGCCCAGTCAGATAACGAGACAAGACCCAATAAAAATGCTTTTGATTCCAAGATAAGATGGAGACCTTCAAAAAGACTGATTTTGAGAACCACAAGGTAGGTGTGACCTGCGTTGTAAAAAGTGCTTTCAGTAGTCAGAAAAGCGCTACACAAGCTCAAGTCCATTTACCATTTACTGTTTGAGTTAACAAGATCAACAAGGCAAGGATGGCCGCCCTCACCACTCATTTTTATTTTTGAACTGGAACCCCTGGCATGTGTTATTAGAACTTAACAACCCATAAGTTGTATTAAAATAAAGGATATGATTTTACCCATCTGATGTGTCCTTGGTCAAGACACTTAACCATGACCTGCTCCTGCTGCTTTGGCACGAGAATGTGTATGAATGGATGAGTTAATACTGATGGTCTCTTTACTCAGAAGCCTCTACCATCAGTGTGTGAATGTGTATGAATGGATGAGTTAATACTGACAGACTCTTTACTCAGCAGCCTCTACCATCAGTGTGTGAATGTGTATGAATGGATGAGTTAATACTGACAGACTCTTTACTCAGCAGCCTCTACCATCAGTGTGTGAATGTGTAGGTGTGACCTGCGGTGTTAAAGTGCTTTGAGTAGTCAGAAGACTAGAAAAGCATAAAACAAGCTCAAACAAGCAGAGGTGATAACTTCAGTGATCAAAAAGAGATTAGGTGACACCTTATAGACAGCTAGTTGAACCCACCTGTCTCTCAAATCGGCCACATCTGAATCATGTAAAGCTTTAAGGTTTCAATACATTGAAATGTGTTTCAAACAGCCTCAAGTAACCATCTGTCTCATATCTATTACCATTATTATAATTCTTAATGTGAATTCTGGACATTCTCAACTTTAGCTGCTATACTTCAAATGATCAGCCCCCCCCCCCTTTTCTGTGTAATCATATTGGTAATATAAATACACTATCTAATACCACATAGCTTTTTCCTTGCCACTGTTACTTATGCTCATGTTGCCAAGTGCTTTTCTCATGGTGGGTTCATGTTGGGTCTCTAAATAATATAACAGGGAACAGTCTGGACCTGCTCTCTTTGTAAAGTGGTGCAGCTGTGGCTCAGTTGGTAGAGTCATCGGCTCAACTGGAAGGTAAAGGGTACAAACCCCAGCTCCTGCAGCAATGTGTCCTCGGTAACACATTCAATCTACACTCATCAGCCACTTTATTAGGTACCTGCTAGTACAGGGTTGGACCTCCTTTTACCTTCAGAACTGCCTTAATTCTTCGTGGCATAGATTCAACAAGGTGCTGGAAACATTCCTGAGATTTTGGTCCATATTGACATGATACGATCACACAGTTACTGCAGATTCATCGGCTGCACATCCATCAGAGGAATCTCCTGTTCCACCACATCCCAAAGGAGCTCTATTGAACTTAGATCTGGTGACTGTGGAGCCGTTTGAGTATAGTGAACTCATTGTCATGTTTAAGAAACCAGTTTGAGATGATCTGAGCTTTGTGACATGGTGTGTTATCCTGCTCGAAGTATCCATCAGGAGATGAGTACATTGTGTTCATAAATGGTTGGACATGGTCAGAAACAATGCTCTGGTAGGCTGTGGTGTTTTAAATTATGCTTAATTAGTACACAGGGACCTTGGTTGAAGGGGTTATTTGAGTTAATGTTGCCTCTCTATCAGCTTGAACCAGTCTGACCATTCTCCTTTGACCTCTGGCATCAACAAGGCATTTTCGCCCAGAGAACAGTCGCTCACTGGATATTTTCTTTTTCTGAACAGTCTCTGTAAAGAGACTTTACAGAGTGTGTGAAAATCCGAGTAGATTAGCAGTTGCTGAAATACTCAGACCAGCCTGTCTGGCACCAACAGCCACACCACGTTCAAACTCACTAAATCAACTGTTCTCCTCATTCTGGTGCCTGTTTGACCCATGTCTACATACTTAAATGTTCAGTCTACTGAGGTGGACCTAAAAACGAACTGAATACTGAAAAGTCCATACTGAACTGTAGCTGGAAAGAGCCTGTTGATGAGAGATGGAGCACCTTTGAGAGGAAGATGATCGACTTGTACACAAAATGTCGCTTTGAATGGATTGCAAGATGTCCTAATTATGTAAGTGACACAAAACTATTTTACTATATTAAAAGTTTATTATGTAAACAAGGGCTCAGGAGTGAACATGCTCCTTTTGCCTAAAGGAAATGTTAAGTAACTGAAGGCAGCGTATTACCTGGAAGACGTGTTTGTAAGTTTAAGTAAAAGATTATTTGAACTTTTTTTTTTTATACATCTTCAAGCCTAAAACATACATGGTGATCACTTAAATCCCAGAACCCTAAACAAAGTTCTTCAGGTTTCAGTAAACTAGCTTTGTTTCCTCCAAATGATCACAGACATATTTTATCTTCTTAACAAGAAGCATAAAAAATGCCTTTCAACTGATTCATGTTCCTTGTGTTTTGTGATTGGGATTAAAGCCTTTAAGAAATTTTAATCACTATACAGCCATTTTTAAAAGCCCTACTTCTAAACAGAGAAGAGCAGCATGGAACCATACATTAAGACAAAGAACCAAATGACTGCTGATATATCTGCAAAGCAGAAGGAGAAACAGACCATCAGCCGGGATTTTGTAGTTCTCAAACTTTATTAAATGACAGGTTAGTCCTTCTTGGCAGCAGCCTTCCTCATGGCAGCCAGCACGTTGCTCAGCTCTTCTCTCTTTCTCTTGGCACGGATGTGAGTACCAATCTGAGGAAGAAACAGAGACTCAGTTCAGTGTTGGGAAAACTAAGATTTCTTTCTTCTAAGTAGGCAGTGGGATGTGAAATTAACTGCAAATGTTCAAGAGTACAACAAAGAGAGCACACACACACTCTAGATTTATAAAGCTGTGTGAGAACATGGCTCCATTAATGCAATTAGGCCAGACAGTTATGCAACATGCAATTATTTTGTATTGTTCCTGCAATTTTGTACCAAGTGCAATAAAAGAACAAATATCAACGAGCCTGAAAGCAATCATTCAATTGCTATTTCATTTTGTTTATCTGCAGGTTTTACACAATAGCTGTTTCCAACATGTCATCCCTGATTAAAGTTTGTTAAACTAAGGAATTGGCAGAACTCAATGTCAGAGTAGCTGGTTAACTAGAGCTTCATCTGACAGTATGAACATGGTTTTAAAGCAGAGAAAGAAATGTAGACCATATCAATGTGAGGAGCACTGCGTGGTCATTTACAGCGGATAATTCCACACATTCTGTTGTGCAGTTGAAAGACTTTTGGCGGATGTATGTCGATATATAATGACGTACTTCCATGACTTGTGCAGCCTGATGACATTTTAAACTTGTAGCCATGAATGAATAAAAACATCGAGCCTTTTGTTTTCACATCAAACTTATGTCTGCTAAATATGAGAGCATAGTTCACGTAATGTTTTATTCAGGTTTGAGATGTGTTTATGGTGAATGCATCATGATAAAACTGCAGCTGACACAATAATGAACTCACCCTCTTCTTAATGAACTTCAGGGCTCTCTTGTCCTTTGACACCTTCAGCAGCTCCATGGCTCGCCTCTCATACGGAGCGAACCCACACACCTCACGGATCATGTCCCGGACAAACTTGCTGTGTTTGGTCAGGCGCTGGAGAGGAAGGAGAGGAAGGACGTGGTTTAAAATACAATCCACTATTTCAAAAGTTGAACCTTTTGAAACCCTAACAGATGATTGTGGTTGACATCATGGTACATATTAAGCTCTAAAGTTAAATCCTGAATTGCAGCATGTAGACACTAAAACAGTCCACGTTCTTTGAACATCAGAAAACTGGGTTACATAGAATAAACTTTGATTTCTAAATGGAAATCTAAGGGATTAAGTAAACATTCCTAATGGTTAATAAAAACATCCTACAGTGTTAAAGAGAAGACAACCTGCTCCTTAATTTTTTTTAAGTGAATATTTCTCAAGCGCAATTGTTGATGGTTCTTATTACCTTATTAGGCAAAGATCCAGTTTGACATAACTGGGCAGCAACAAAACTCCAATGTCAAGAAACTGAGAACAGTACATTTTTTAACACCAATAACTGACCACATTTAGTATCAAAGTTCTTCAATCAACTTTCAAAATAAACTTGATTCCTAAATAATTTACTGACAATTGATGCAGAATTGTTATTCAGTTCATCCATGCGTTTATGATTCAAAATAGTGTCAGCATTAAAAAAGGAAAACCTGAGAAACTACAGTCACCTTTGATCACTCTTCAAGGTGCACTATGTAGATTTGGTGGTGAAAGTTGGAGAAGTGAAACAAATATGTGCTATATTTTCAGAACTAAATACACAAACTCAAAAAAAAAAAAAAAAAAAAAAAAAGGGTCCCTTGAAGACTGTTGGAGCTTAAAGGCTACCACGAGTGTTACAGATCCTCCACCATATCTTCTTGTGTATCAGTTTATCTTCAGTTACAGGGACCACATGTTCCTCTGAGGACAGTTTGTGTGTATGAGTTATGAACATATACCACTGTACACTTCTCTAACAACACTACATAGTGCATCTTTAACTGAGACACTTCAGTCGTACAGCAGGATGTACTCACCCCACGTCTGCGGCTGTGTTTTGGAGCGGTGACATTTTTGGTGACTGGATGGCCTTTATTAAGGCCAACAGCCATAGGGTAGCGAATAGCCATATCTGTTGAAGACACACAAATGCAAGTGAGGGGAAAAACATAAGCTTTTTCTTACAACCACACGCCAAGTGAAACAGTCACAACCTAGCACGCATATGACATTATGTCCTCAACTAACCACATCATCCAATGATTTCTACAGTTTTTAATTACAAGGTCTACAGCTGCATTTTACACAGCACTGCATTCAAACTTCTGACACATTACTTTTTCTCCAAGAAAATCATGAATCATGACGTGCATGTGCTGCGTGTTAACAGCTAGCATGGTATGGCTATTATTAGACTAAGGCTTTGCTAATATACATCAGTTCACTTCTCTGACCCAACAAGAGAAAGTCTCAATTATTAGGTTTCGTGTGGGGAGACTTGAAATCCGACGTATAGAAGCTGACGCTCAGGTATAAGCACACTAACTTACGTTACGACGTGAATTCTGTAGGCAACCTTACAACAAAAAACATCTGAAAGACAGGCTCCCCTGGCTTCACTTAAACACTCTGCATTAATACGGTTCGCAGCTTGTAAAAATGACTTATTTCAATGGATTTCACTCGTGTTGTTGTAGGTTGGGCCAAAAGAAGCACACATACTCGATGCTTTAACGCGGATACTTTGCTAAATGTCTTCTCCACCAGTGGTACAATAATTATGAATATATGTCTGGTTAAGGCAGTAGTTTAATGTACTTGTATCTTTTTGGACAGAAATCTACGGATGGCTGAGATTATTCACGGGTTTAGCTGATACTTGTCCACATTAAATTCATACCTGCTATCTGCGATGGCGGTCAGACCGGAAGGACTGTGGGAAGAGCGAAGCAGGAACAAAAAAGGTCTGACCCGGAAGTACTCATGTAGCGTTATCAGAGCAGTGCTCCTGCTGGACTGGAGGTGTTATCATTGTTTTTTGGGTCCCAGATTAAATCAATTAAACATCTAATGTATTTTAATCGAATGAACATGTATATTGTTTTTACGTAAAAAATATATATTTATAACAAGCCTCAATATGGTTTAATAGGGGTTGGAATGACCTAAGGCCCCACAATGCGATATTTCCACGATACTTGAGTCATGATACGATTTCATTCCGATTTTTTACATTTTGTGATATGCTGAGATTTGCAATACAAAAGGCCTATATTGCAGTTTAACTTTTTAAACTGCATATTATATCTGCAAAAATCAAGAACTGTTTTGTCAAAAAAGAAACAATTCTCAGTCTATTCATTTCTCTTCAGTCTTTTCATTTCGACAAAAGGGGAATTAATTCCACAGACTGACCAACACTGTGATCAAAGTTAAACCCTTTTGCAAGTCCCCTAACCTAACCCTTCCTTACAGAGTCTGCATCAAGTCAAGACCTGTATTATGCTGCATATCTGCTGCTGACAGTTTCATAGGCCTACAGAATTTGTATTATTTCATTTCTTTAAGCTGAAATGGTATACCACAACTGTATGCTTTACAATAAGATGACACAGATACTGTAAGAATTTGATATTATGCAAATTCCTTAAATTTCATTAAACACATTTGACTCATGGTCATTGTTATGGTAAACATTTTCAGACAAATAACAGAGTGGACAATAACTGAGTTTACATTTTCTACCTTTTTGTGCTAACTCTAATTTGCTAACTCAACCAAAAAACATATCTAACAACAATATATATTGGGCCTATGTATTTTCTTTGTTATAATTTTTCGCAAATTGAGTGAGGGATTCCTTGCAATATCACAATAACAGAGATGACAATGAATCTCCTGTTGGGGTATCAATAACATTTTGTCAAGGGTTCAGAGGGACTCTGCAGATTGAATGGAGTTTGGAAGTTCATTCCACCACTGGGGGGCAACAGAGGAGAAGAGTCTAGTTTGAGACTTACGACCCTGTTGTGAAGGTTGGATCAGACGCCTTTCATTGGCAGAGCGTAGTGGGGGGGGGGGGGGGGGGGATGAGAGAGTCATATGCATCAACTGTGTGTGTGTGTGTGTGTGTGTGTGTGTGTGTGTGTGTATAACACACTACATATCTATACATATCTTGTACTTATCTTATAATAGTAGTCCTTCTTTTAGCTTATTGCTTATTTTATTACTTATTTTATTATCTCTATTCTATTTTATTTTTACATCCTTAAATTATTTCTATATTTCCTACTGCTGTATTGTGTTAAGAGCAACGGTAACAACTGAATCTCTGATCTGATTCTGACCCATGCTGTCAAGTTTTTAAGTTTTAAACTGATGGATATTGTTTTTTCTTTCAGAACAGTTGCGTTTATATAATAGTTGTTATTTAAAAGGAGGTGTTCAAAATCAATCCAGAAATGTTTAACATTGTTACATTCCTATGAATAAATGAATAGTCTCTGAGTTAGTTTTAGAAGACAAACAAGATTCAGAAAAGTCATTTATATGTTTTTCAAGAAATTGGTTGGTTAAATTACATTCCAATTTAAGTAAACTTCAGTGACTTTAGTGTTGATCAAATGTTTGTTACAATGAGTCCATATCAGTTTCCAATGATATAGAAAAAGTGATTATTCCAATAGTGTTTGCTACAAGGCGTTGCAAAGCAATAAATCAAGTGTCTAACAACATTTTTGTTACATATGTTGTCTTTTATCTTAAAAGTATTTAGAATCAGTCTTAAGTTGCCTATTGACTGATCGCTTGACACATGCTACTGTTTTGTACTACAGTCTAAAATAACAGTCTCAAAAATTATATAATATTCTCCTGCAGGTATTGGAATAACAGATGTCTGTAAGAACTATTTGTATATATTAGTATGTGAGTAAGTGACCTTTCTCATTATCAGCTTGGAAATGAAACACAATTCTGTTTTGGACCCATTTTTATATACAAATAAGTTGCTTTTATATTTGTTTTTATATTTTTTTATTATTCCATAGGCTATTACATTTTTGTGGGGAGAAGAAAATGTGTTTGTAAGAGGCTAACATAAAACATAAAACATTGGGGCGGCAGTTGCTCATTTTGTAAGTCCCGGCACAAGTCCAAGTCCGGAAAATGGTCTGGTAGCTAGAGAGGTGCCAGTTCACTTCCTGGGCACTGCCGAGGTGCCCTTAAGCAAGGCACCGAACCCTAACTGCTCTGGAGCACTCGCTGTGGGCAGCCCCCTCACTCTGACACCTCGCCATTAGTGCATGTCCATAGAGGATCCTGTTTGTGCATGTGTGTGTTCATGTTCATTAAACAGAGTGTAAAACTGAATTTCCCCTCGCGGGATCAATGGTATAAATTTAAAAAAGCCTGTCTGTTAAATTTGGTTAACTGGAGAGGGAGTTTAACTTGTCCTCCTCGCTTTTTACTTGCTTCCGTCCTGTTCCATCTGTTATCTTTGATTAAATAAAAATAAACATATTAATAGAGTTAGGTTACAGAAATAACGGACTGAAGAGTTTTTGAATAGTGATGCATTCACGTACTGTTGTACATATTTAAGTTAAGGCGTTCACCTATTGACATTCGTTCTTAACGGTTTGTAACAACAATTTTGATCTCTTATTTTAGATTCAGTAGGATATAAAATAATTCAGGCTATAACTCGGTGACCATACATTTCTTTATTATAATGAAGTTATTAAACTAAACAAAGTGATGAGAAAAATCCACATCCAACCATCCACTGTCATCAGTGCGAAAGATTACAAAGGTTGTGTGCAGTATTCCATCCCGGAATACTACGTTATGCTATAAAATGTCAGAAAATGGTGCAGTTTCTATAACAATTAACATTTTTGTTAATAGGTAACGTTTCAGTTTCTTTGTTTCCAACGCTCCCATCATCCATTGCGAGACAGGAAGCGTCCTCTGCTTTTGGCGCGGTCCTAATAGCGGTGTCCGCCATCTTGGAATCACTGTTTGAGTCAACTCTCAGGGAGCCTGCACGAGTAGAGTCATTTACACACATTATCTCTCTCTCTCGAAGATACACTGTTTTGTGTCTTGTTTCTCGGACAATTCAGGTACATTTGTTTTTATTTGCTCACGGAGCGGTGTAGCAAACTTAGGGTTGTGTAAAGAACCGTTATGGCGACTTCTACCCCAAGCCGCGATGCTGGCCGATCGGCGGCCTCGACACCTCTCTCCCCGACCCGGATCTCACGCTTACAAGAAAAACAGGATCTGCAGCACCTGAACGACAGACTGGCCGTGTATATCGACCGTGTGCGGTCATTGGAACTGGAAAACGACCGGCTGATGGTCAAAGTGTCTGAGAAAGAGGACGTGACTACCAGAGAGGTGAGACCAGTAAATAGTAATACACATGTAGAATCACTTGACGTGAGCTTCAGTGAATGATACTGAAATTACGCTCACATATTGTTACGAAAGAGTCAGTTAAAGTGCACACCAATAAATGTTGACAAACTATCCCTTACCAGTATAATATTACATTATTTCAGCAACTGGCCATAAATCGACACTTACCTGATTATGGTGACAAATCATCTTAAGTTAATCAGCATTGATGGAAGTACTTTTCGCTTTCACACTTTTATTTAAGTACATAATATAACTTTACATATATTATTGCATTTCCTGTCTGCATGTGACGTAACAGGACGGGGGATTGAGCGGGTGGTTATGCGCGCCAATTTATAAATATGACCTCCGGGTGTTTTGGTCCCTGTTTTCATTATGACATAGTTAACATAAGTCAATGTCTTATTACCTTGAAGCTCAGCAACACCTTTTACTAAACGACACAAACTAAAGATTTGTGTGATTTCACTTGTGGTGCTTTTCTAAGGTTTCTGCTCTGGTGTGTTTTGGTTGTAAACTGATGGCATTTTGATTAACATCAATATTATCAATTCTTTTGGAGGAAAAAAGTAAGAAATAACTTTAAATGAACTTTATTAAATGAACTCAAATGGCATCCATGGTGGCTGTGCATCTTGGTGTGTAAGATAGTGTTTGGTTTTACAAAGAAAAATCAATATCTGGTGAAGGAAGATTGTGTTTACATGTCTTAAAATGAAATTGTACTGTATCACTCCTACTTTCACGGCTTTAATGGCATTTCTGACACTGTGATTAATAATAGAACCACTCCACCAAAATGCTCTTTTCTAAATTTAAAGATGTTGATCAGGAGCAGATTTAATATGAGTCGAGTCATTTTCTTAAGGAGTTAAATGTGAACCCATTTTCAAGTATGAAGATAGGAAGGCAGAACAAAACTTTGTTTTCAGCAATCCCGTACAGCAGCCTTATACAATCTGGTCAAATATGAGAATATATCGATGGCTATGTTTATTTATAAATAGTTGGGCAACATTGAATGAGTAGAGAAGAAATAATTAATGAAATAATAATGAAGATCCTGTTGTCTATTCTCACTCTGTAGGTGTCCGGCCTGAAGGCTCTGTATGAGGCAGAGTTGGCTGATGCGCGACGGGTTTTGGATGAAACTGCTAGAGATAGAGCCAGGCTCCAGATAGACCTTGGAAAAGCTCAGTCTGAACTGGAAGAAGTGACACGCAGGTAACATGACACTGTACACCTTTTCACTGTTCACATCATATTGTAAAAATCAACTTCTTTTTAGTGTAAGGCAAACCCTTGGGTCATTTGGTAGGGCGGGGTTAGTGGATAGTTTTTTAAGTAATAACTGTTGGGTCCTTCTTCTGTTCTTGTGATCCAGTGCCAAGAAGAAGGAGAGTGATCTTGCTGCAGCGTTGTCCAGGGCCAATGCTTTGGAAGGCCAGCTGAACAAAAGTGAAGCAGCTCTTTCTACAGCTCTAGGCCAAAATTCGTCTCTGACCTCTGAGCTGGCTGATGTCAAGAGCTTGTTGGCTAAGGTGGGTACTACAGCGTTTTCTTTTGAGAAAGAATCAGGGGAAAATGTGTAATGAAAACATTTGTGTGCTTGAAAGAAAGATTAGATGTAAGTGCCTTTTATTATATTTGCTAAATCTAGTCAACCCACTGCTTTCATTTTTCCTGGTTTGCTAATCACATCCCTGATTAATGCCGTACTGAAATGTATACAAATTTTGGCTGGACAATATTGGAAAAAACACATTTTTCTTCCTGTGATATATCTTGTGATTTATTTGAAGAAAAATGGAAATTATACCAGATACACGCAGTGTCTTTCTTGTACACCAGTTACAATTTAAATCAAACAATTATATTTTTATTCTTGATAAAAATAGCAAATTTCTGATTTCAAAACTAAACCCCTCCTACTTTGATTACACTCTGGGTTCTCTGACTGAAATGTATACAAATTTCGGATACAGCTCGGCTCGGATACAGACAGAGTTGTAGGAGAGAAAGTGGAGAGAGAACACAGGTCAAACAACACCTTTATTCATAAACTTTGCAAATAAACTTGTGACTTGCAATTGTGTTACTTATACGTCATCAACTTTTACTATATACTAAAGATGGTTGCGATTGTCAAGGTTTCGGTAAGTCTACGTATCCAAGGCCCAACTTTAAAAGGCCCTGTTCAGCTTCCCTGGATTCACACACAAAAATTTACTGGGTGCGCTGCATTTATAGCTGCTAAAAAGTTAACAATCAGCGACACATACAGTGCATATATGTAGCCAGAGCATTAATGAGCACCGGGTAAAGGTGCTGCTGGTAGTGGGAATACACTCATTTCAAATCTGTGATTGAGCGTCATGCCAGTGAATCTGTGTCAGGAGCACAGCCTTTACATGTTTACATGGAGGGGACACACAATGCTCAGTTCTCTGACTACTGATGGTGATATCAGTCGGGATTGGAAACAGAAACTGTGGAACCATTAAGTTGCACAGGAGGGGACAGAATTGAGGATTGTATATTAGAATAAAACAATAAATCTACGTTCATTACATACCATAATAACCCAGAATACAGTATGCCAGTATTTTGGTTTAGTCATTTCAGATTTTTCTTCCACAGCTTTCATATGATGGGTGATTGCTTATGCTCATGTTGACTTTTTGTCTTGTGTTGTTACCTGTTTTATAGGCAGAGGACAGCCATGCTGTTGCTAAGCGTCAGCTGGAGGCAGAGACGCTGATGCGTGTAGACTTGGAAAACCGCTGTCAGTCACTGAGTGAAGACCTGGAGTTCAGGAAGAGCATGTTTGAAGAGGTACAGTGATTATATAAATAGATAATAAAGCACATATTGTTGAGTTAAAGGAATCCAGTTTCAACAATAGCTTTGTCAAAACATATCAAATTGCCTTTTTTCTTTAGGTTAAATGTAACTGTTGTATGGGTACATGAAATCAATCATAGGTCCCTAATCAAAACGGCAGACTTCGTGATATTGGCAAATATCGTGTCCATATCCAAAAAATATTATTTTTGTATATTTTCCATATACAGTGTGTGTGTGTGTGTATATACACACATTTTACTGATTATATGTTCTAATAGTACATTTTGAGTGTTTTATTGCATGGCTTTGCAGAACAGTCATTACATTTCACTGCACATCTGTATGAGCATGTGACAAATTCAAATCTTGAGTCTTGAATCTCGATATCGTATCGTGATGAAACCGGTGAATTTCACCTCTGATGTACAGTATGCAATCTCAGGGCTTGAGACTAAGTACTTCCCGTCATCCCGGGGACGATTCAAAATGTTCTTAAGACGAATGAAAATCTTTCCCCAGTGCTGTGGTTTTTGTGCATAATCGAGTGAATTGGCTCTACTAAACAGCCACGGTAGAAAACTAATGAGCAATTTGAACCCCAGTTTACTTCTTGTGCAACTCTTAGAGCCCTACATGCTCACTGACACAAAGAGCGTCCCGCCGCCTCCTCGTGTCAGAGCTGGTGTCAGTGTCTACAGTGATTCAAAACCAGGTCCAACAATCCAGTTTTAAATTCACTTCACTGGCTTCCAGTGTTTTAAGAATTTAAAACTCAAGTGATCCCTTTTAAAGTTTGAATAGGGCCAGCACCAGATTACAGACTAACCTCCTGACCCCCTACGAGGTTGAGATCGAGACAGAGGAGCATGTCCATGCATATAGACAGAAGAACAAACTGGACTTAAAGAAATGGTTATTTAATGTTGGAGCCTGATGTATAAAAAATAAAAATAAGATAAAAAATCTGTAGGTAACAACCCTCAGGTTTATCAGAGAAAATGACTGAACTGTATCTCTGTGACAGAGTGACAGCTTCCTCGTAAAACGATCCTCTGGTTGAGGAGGCGTCACACGCTGAGGGGCGGGGTTTACAGACATCTTTCTGATGTTCATCAATTGATTTGAAGGTGTGTGCTTCTAAAATATACAGGACAACAAGTAGCATTTTTTAAATCCACACCAGTACTTACAAATACTACTTCCTGATACCCACCCGTAAAAGTTTATAAGCTATAATAAAACAATAGCTTAAAAAAACAAGCGAGAAAAGAGATGGAAATGCAGCAGTCGAATATGGGGTCAAACTTTTCAAACTCCGCCATCTTTCTTCTTGTGTTCAGGAGGTGCGTGAGTCTCGACGTCGACAGGAGCAGCGGATAGTTGAGGTGGACTCTGGAGTCAGGCAGGACTATGAGTTTAAACTGGCGCAGGCTCTACAGGTAAGCTTCAGTTGTCACATCTATTGTGTGTATTAATTAAAAATAAAAGTGCTTACCCCAGGTCTATCTATGAAATGCCCAGAAACCTTAGTTTGCCTGTGAATTGCAATTTTGTGGCAAATGGCAAAGCAACATGTCATGTCTGTTTATGACCATATCTCTACAACATACGTATGATCATGTTTGTCTCAGTCTTTTTTTTTTTTTTTTAGATTTATTTTGGGCTTTTCGTGCCTTTAATGCAGAGAGAGGACAGTGGATAGAGTCGGAAACCAGGGAGAGAGAGCAGGGAATGACATGCGAAAGACGAGGTTTGATGTGAGAATTAATCAGGTTTGTGTTTTCCCACAAGGACCTCAGGAAAACACATGATGGACAAGTATCTCTTTATAAGGAAGAACTGGAGAATACCTTCCAGGCTAAGGTGGGAAACATTCTTTTTTTTTTTTTTCATATTTCAAGTGAAAAAAAGTGGTAGAATGGCTATATATGTTCTTTATTGTCATTGTATAAAAGAACAGACATGTATAACAGTTCAGTGATGTCGGCCTGAGGGCAAACCTCCAGTCTTCCCCAGTCCTGTCTTTTCCATACATCCTGAATATGTAAAATGGTCCCTTTCTTACAAATAGTCTGTCTTCTTCTAGCTGGAAAATGCAAAGGTGTCCTCAGAGATAAATGACAAGGCAATGAGCACGGCCAGGGAGGAGCTGCTGGAGTCCCGTACCAGAATAGAGGGTCTTGGATATCAGCTGAGTGCTTTGCAGAAGCAGGTAATGTATAATGACACCTTTACACACTCATTTTAGAAGTCCTTGACCACTCTCACAGTTATGCTGATGGTGCATGTGTGTGTTTGAATTTATAGATGGCTGCCTCCGAGGATCGTATCAGAGAGCTTGAGGAAATTCTGTCAGCTGAAAGAGAAAAGCACCGTCGTTCTATTGAAGGAAAAGAACAGGAAATGAGTGAATTGAGAGAGAGGATGAACGCTCAGCTCAGTGAATACCAGGAACTACTGGATGTGAAGCTGGCCCTGGACATGGAGATCAATGCATACAGGAAACTGCTGGAGGGGGAGGAGCACAGGTAACTCGCACACAACCATGACGTTCATCATTCAAGGAATACATACAAACATTAATGAATAAATATGCCTACTAAATTAACTTAAACATAACAGTCTTTTCCTAATACATTTTGGGGTTTCTTACATGTTTTCAGGACATCTATAGGCTTAACTACATGAGGGTTTTTTAAAGTCACTTTTTACGTTTTTTGTTTGCCTTTTTTACCTTTATTTGATAAAGAGAGATAAATGATTATTTATTAAAGTATTATGATTTTATGAAGTTTAGTGTTTACTAATCGCTGATGAGACAACGTAGTTTCTACAAAATGCAAGAGATGAGCAGAGGGGCAGGGTTTTTGAGGGAGCATAGAGGGGAGGGGATGGCCTTTAACATTAATTTATCCTTTTGTCAGGATTTTAAACTGTCTTAAGATTTAATATTTCTTGGAAGTAGACGTTTTATTGTGGCTATTGTTAATTTCTCATCAAAATGGCAGAAGGCTAAAGTTTGGACCTTGATGTGTCAATGATATGACTCAGGAAGTCATGGATAGATACTAACTTCTTGTGGCTGATGTGTTCTTTTCTTTTTTTTCTTTTTTTTTAAGACTGAAGTTGTCCCCCAGCCCATCAGCTCGAGTCACTGTTTCCAGGGTAACAGGATCTTCCAAGAGAAAGAGAGTGGAAGTGGAGGCCCAGGATGTGTCAGAGGGGGGACGAGGAGAAGGACAACTGCTGGTATCAGAAGAGGCCACAGCCAGTGGAGCAGTTACCATCTCACCTACTGACATGGATGGAAATGCAGTCACACTGACCAACGATACTGATCAGGTGTGAAAGACTGGACTTTGACTCAAAAAAACAACTGTTTATTATTTCTCTCGTCTTTGCAGACGACCAGCAGTAGATGAAAAAACTGAATTTAAGGGTATTCGAATGATCAGATTTTTCAGATTACTGCTGTTGAGCTATAAGTTTAGCCTCCTTGTTTGAGTGAATATGATCAGCAGTTTGCTTAGAAATTAGGAAGATTATGCATATGTATTTTGAGCTTTCTTGTGTTTTGCAGGACCAGCCTTTGGGCAACTGGAGGTTGAACAGACAGGTCGACAGCAGTGATGAGATCACCTACAAGTTCTCACCAAAGTTTGTCCTCAAGGCTGGACAGTCCGTCACGGTGAGAACAAAACATGTGAAACAGAGAGAGACAGTGTGCTGAATTCAGTGCAGCCTGCTCACCTTCCCTCCATTCTCCTATGGGAACTGGCACAGTCACACACCTGCACCTCTCCTATGTTACACACAGCATGTTTTTAACTGGTGCGACTTTTGTATTCATCTCATTTCAAGCCCAATGAAACTAGAAAAAGGCTCCTTTGGCCACTTACAACGGGTTTATTTTGATGCCAGACTTGAAACATATAAAACAAAGTTTCCCCTCTGAATGGAGCAAACAAGGTCAACTCTGAAAAACAAAAACATTTTATCCTTGTGCGGCTCCAGAGCCTCTCAACACACATGAATGGAGGGTCGAGCCCCGGACTTACCTCACCCCTGGCTATATTAATAATAGAAATTCTAAAGTCATAGTTACAGACTCATTATACTTATTCTTTATTTTTAAAGACATACAGAGGTGGAATTGTTTTCCTAATCACTGGAAAAGTTTGTGTGACATATCTTATAAATACTGCGGGCTGTTGCCCTCTGGTCTCCACTCTAACTGTGCGTAGCTGTTAGCACTGCTGTTTGTCTTTTATACACTTTCAAATGATGTTTCATATAAACGGCACAGTTTTTACCCAAATGAATGCGTAAAGGCTTATTTAAATGTGCACAACCAGCACTAGTGCAAAGAGAGGTTGACTCTGCAGCGCAATCGGATGTATTTATTTGCTTGTGTGTATTTTGTGACGTCTGAAATAAGTCTGATTAGTTATTGTCATCACTGGCACACACTGTACAGGGGGTGATTAAAAAAAATAAAAAATTTAACAGCTCCATTTTGATTTTGAAAACAATATGTGTTTTCCGTAGTTAGGGGCGTAGCTGACATGATTGACAGGTGAGTGTGATGTAATGGTTCGTCAAGAGACTTAAAACCCGAGTGCAGAAGAACATCAGCACAGCAAGCTGCTGCAGAAAAATATTTAAACGGAGGTATGCAAAGCTTTTGTTTTAAAATGAGACGTTGACATTACCAGCAGACATCTCTCTATCTCTTTCTTTTAGTGATAAAAAATGTTGGGGAAAATACTTTAGTGGCCTTATATATATCTGGGCGTCCTGCAGAGGTATCGTCCATGTGTGGGAAACACTGAGTGTAGTCTCGTTCTCATTCTTGTGTACTCATTATCGCTAATCGTCTCGTCATGTTAGCTGAGTGTATCGTCAAACCCCTAAAATTAATATTCAGAGGACTATATTGAAAAATATTCTGAGTACTTTATGAAGCTTTACTGCATAAATAGTTCATTTACATCACTATATGATTACCTTCTCTGTGTGTTTACAGGTGTGGTCTGCCGATGCTGGCATGGCCCACAGTCCACCATCTGACTTGTTGTGGAAGAGCCAGGCTTCCTGGGGCACAGGAAATGAAATGATCACCACTTTAGTCAATGCTGATGGCGAGGTAAATACATCAATGCTTAACTAATCAATATCGCTTTTGGCTTGGTTCACACAACAAGACATGACCTATTTAATGTTGTTGGGCCAGCTGTGGATCAGTGGTCGAGTCGGTCTTCTCTCAACCAGAAGGTCGGGAGTTCCAGCTCCTGCAGCTACGTGTCCGATGTGTTTCTTTTTTTATTTGTTAGGATCCCAATTAGCTCTACCTGAGAGCTATTCTTCCTGTGGTCCGCTTTAAATAACAATCACAGTAACATACAATCAACATTGGAAACATAATTAAGCACTACAGTCCACACAAAGCATTACATTGACATCCATTATGTCCTTGGGCAAGACGCTTAAACCCAAGTTGCTCCCGCTGACTCGTCAGAGTTATAAAGATAGACTCTTTACTCAGCAGCCTCTACCATCAGTGTGTGAATGTGTATGAATGGATGAGTTAATACTGATGGACTCTTTACTCAGCAGCCTCTACCATCAGTGTGTGAATGTGTATGAATGGATGAGTTAATACTGATGGACTCTTTACTCAGCAGCCTCTACCATCAGTGTGTGAATGTGTATGAATGGATGAGTTAGTACTGATGGTCTCTTTACTCAGCAGCCTCTACCATCAGTGTGTGAATGTGTATGAATGGATGAGTTAATACTGATGGACTCTTTACACAGCAGCCTCTACCATCAGTGTGTGAATGTGTATGAATGGATGAGTTAGTACTGATGGTCTCTTTACTCAGCAGCCTCTACCATCAGTGTGTGAATGTTTAGGTGTGTCCTGCGGTGTAAAAGCACTTTGAGTCTTCAGAAGACTAGAAAAGAATTAAAGAAGTCCATTTACTATCTTTTCTGCAGGAGGTGGCGAGTAGGAGTGTAACCAAAACTCAGGTGGAGGTAGATGATGGAGAAGAAGAGGAGGAAGTGGATCAAACGGTTAGTATACTTGTTTCCTTCCTTCCTTGACTTTTTGAAAATAATGCATAATCAGTGTTTTTGCCTTTGTTTAAACAGCTTGACTTCTTTATGTCTATATTAGTTGCTTGTGTATGAAACAAATTTAGTTTGCAAACCTTTCCTAATTTAAGTCCTTCACTTGTGTTTGTAATAATGTAATAATTTGTGATAATGTGGATTTATATTTCGTTTCCTTTAGTTTCCCTCCCCCTTTATATCGATGAGGTTAAAGTAAAAAAAAGAGCGCTCTATGATGTATAATGCACCAGGTAGAACAACAGCAACTTCTAGATATTCTGTATATGTAAGTCTACACGTGTAAGGAATGATTCAGCCAAAGCTGAACATTGTTACTTTCATGATGGCTGGGTTCATTGAAGGGCTGTATTGAATTTTAACTTGATTTACCACGAGGTAAAGGGGAGGGGGAAATTGAATTTTTGTCATGGTTTATTTACAACAAAAAAAGCATGATCGTATATTGTTGTTAGATGGTCTTACATAACACCACTAAAAGACCAAGGGCTTTTAGCCATTTTCCACTTTTTATCAGACATAATTCTCAGTTAGTAGGCTCCCTATAACATGAGTGGTGAGCGATAGCGGTGTGAAAATGGTCTTCTCGTATCAATGGGCAGCGAGCTCGCAAGCTAGGAGTCTGTGCTTTGCAACGTTCACTGCAGGCTGAGAGCTCGACTACCGTATTGTTGCAAGTAGAGAAAACAGACGGACTATAAGAGCGACACAAACTGAACGTTGTAGACTTAGCTAAACATGATGTAATCGTGAAGCAGGAAGAAAGCTTAAACTTGTTTTTCTCTCTGAGAGATATTTAAAGACAAACTGCGACTTATATTCCAGATTTTATGGTACTCTCGTAATATTTGTTATCAATTATTTTAATTGAAAGAGGACCAAAGAGGATAAATGAAATGGCACATTAGATGATAATTGTGTTTGTTCTATCCACAGGGCAAGGCGTCCTCCAGAGAATGTGCCATCATGTAAAGCCTTGAAGTCGACGATTGGTTTGACAGCTCCATTATATTCTATTCTCTAGAGCTACTCCGATATGATCATGTCCATCGCATCACCATTTGGTGTTTAACTTTTAAAGACAGTATAAGACTTTAAGGACTCTGTAAAGCTGCCTCTGAAATACCTGGACCTGATTCAAACATCACATCATCTTTCTCTGTGAACACTGGATACAAACATCAACTGTGAGAATGTCAGCAAATTGTCCCGCCCATTTTAAAGTACCACGCTTTCCAAGTCATTGATTATTTGATTGGCTTCAATTCATTCTTAGTTGAAAGCTTTTTTTGTTTCATCCTTTTTGCAAAGTAGAACACGATGTCTAAGGGTTTGCACAGAAGACCTAAAAGAACTTGATTATTGAGATAAATCAGGTTCACTGTGTTCACAACCATCAGTGTTAAATGATGAAATACAGATTTTAACAAAATATGAAGTTTTTTACAAATCCATCACTCTGACTAAAAGGCATAAAGGCAGGGTTGGTCATTTTCGAAATCTTCCAAGTAGCATTCCCTCTACTCTGTCTAACCCTGCCTTTAAATGTAATATTAAATTAAATGTATTTGGTTACGCAGATGGATTTTTCCTGGCTGCACATTTTTACCTCTGTATTGTCCTTTTATGGATTAAATCTTAAAAATCTGCAAATCATAGGCTGCTTGAAAAGTTTAAGTTACTGATTCTTTTGCTATTGTGAAAACTGACTGCAAATTCAGAGTGCAAAGTGATAACTGATTTGATGACAAATGTTAAACTTAATAGCTAAGAAAACGCTCCGTACCTTTCAGGCTTTCAAGGTCAGTACTCAGACTTCTGTCAGAATCCTGAGCACGTTACATGCCATGTGTTCCTTGATAGAGCTGTCGTTCTCAGCCACGTTACACTCCTCTTTTTTAAGAAACACTACAGGTTTGTTTTGACTGACGACCTTTGATTTCGGATATCTCTTATAAGAAATATGTGGAGATCAGTTGTCTTTGCTTCCTTTGTGTGGACTTGGGGAGGGGGTTCTTAGTGAGGGAAAAAGGCAGTTGCCACTCAGTCCTCCTGGAAGCCCAACCATACATTTTAAAATTCAGAATAATGGAGCCATTTTTTTAAGTTAGGGAATGAAGTTGTGAATCAGTCGCAGTGGTCAGTTGATACTCGATTCTTTTGAATGAAGACCCTCAAGACGTTTCTCAAATCTGAGGTTCTACAACAAATCCATAAAAAACAGTCTTATCTTTTTCAGTGAAGGGGAGTTGTTACTTGTTCTAAAAGATAATCGTTTTCCTAATTTTGTCTCAGCCCAGTGTACTCTTTGGAAGTAAGATCCCGTTTCCACCTAGCGTGTTTTTTTTTCTGAGCATCAGCAGTTTTTTTTCAGTTGTTTTCTTGAAGAAGAGAGCCGCCTGGAGAAAAAGCACAGCGCCCAGTGTCTGTTCTTCTGAGCGCTCTGCCTTATTTGTGCGGCCGCTCTGAGTGCTCAAGTTGAAAATCTTTAAACTTTTCAGAAAGGCGCTGTTGACGTCACTGGAGTTCTTTTCCAAATGTTTGATATTCCCCGTAGTTTAACCTCCTCGCTCCGTGTCTAATCGGGAAATAAACGATCTGAAATATAAAACATGCAGTAAAAAGTAACGGAGCAGTGTCACTCATACAGAGACCGTTGTTTACAGACTTGTCATGGAGACAGGACGGACGTGCAACGCTTTTCTTCTCAGAACACAAACGCTTCATGCAAACGCTTCAGAGTGCACAGCCGGCGCTTTTCTGACCAGAAAAAACACCAGGTGGATACGGGGTCTTAGAGTTCGGCTTCAGGCCGCCAACACCTTCTAAACTATACGTGGCTCCCGGTCTTGATGTTGACTTTCTGTGAACCTTGACCTGGGCAGAAGTTGCACTGACTATAGAGTTAGGAAACGCACAGAGGAGAGAACAAGAGACTGTGCTTTAAAATATGTCTAAAGTACACTGCAGATGAGAGTTTCTGCTAACATTGACAAACAGACATGATCCTGTTACAGCTGTCGTAAAGGACAGTTTCCACCAAGCGGTCCGGTTCTGTTCAGGACAGTTTGGTACCGTAAATCCTGATCTTGCTTGTGTTTCCAAAGTCAACCCTTAGACATCACTAATTCACAGCGGCGAGATATGGTGTAGACCGCCAATAAATTCAACAAAGAAGAAGGTGACAGTAAACAAAAATCAATAATTGCTAGGAGGGTCTGCATCTCCGAGGTCGTCCATCGGAGATATTTAAACATGGTGCGTTTTGTGTTTGTCCTTTATTACGACCGCGCACAGGAAGTAAAGATTCTTCCAATCAACAGACTGCAGTGTTTCTAGCTCCAACCTTTAGGGTCGGGTTAGTACCCTAACAGAAGGGTACCAAAAAAATCGACTTTTGACAGTGGAAATGCCAATAAATGTGTACCGAACTGAACTGGACCACTTGGTGGAAACTGGGCTTTAGGAACAAGCTCATACCGTATTCTGTATGAAAGCAGTTTTAAAATTTTATTTAAGTTAGCTTGCTCATGTTAGCTCGAGTTAGCTAACTTCTTTCATATGTGTGAGTTCTGTTGTTACTGACACTGAGCAGATTTCTCTGCTAGGTTAACGAGAGACAGACTTTCCCACATTGACTCTTTCGCTTGTTTCACAATGCGGAGCAGCGTCTCTGCTCCTAGAACAATGAATGGTCCCATTAAAGGCTTCACTCAGAATTTGTGTGGGTTTGATTTTTTTAATCCTCACTGGGTTGCTAAAACTTTATGTGATACGTAGCCTTCTGTTACAAAGTCTTCTGTGACTGGCTCTGTGGAAAATGCGACAGTGCCACCATTTTTTAAAGTCCACACAATTCGAACAGTGAAAGCAACACTTGATACTCGTGGACGATGTTGTGATAGATTACATTTTCTTTATATCGAGTGTTGCTCTCACAACTTGTCGGCCATTTGGGAAACACATTTTTCTTGTGCTTGTATGCTGTGCTTTAAACTGATAGTTGTTTTTCTATAGATTTGTGTCAATGTAATCAATTTGTTGAAATTAAATCTTTCATGTATTATTTACGATTTCTATGGTGATTAAGGTTTGGTGTTATTGACCTGAAAATAAAAATAAAACTTTTTCGGCCTTAAATGTATTTCATCCTGTAGTGACCAAGTTTCAAACCTAAACTTCACTAAGTGCAGGATATTGAAACTTGTTTTCTGAGCTGAATTTGGGAGGATGGGGGGGGTATCCAATTATAGACAAGGGTCTAACATTTATAATTGCCATAACCTTCAATTTTTCAGGATTTTCCTTTGAACTGAACCAGAATTTTATAACACCAAAGTTTTAACCACTGGGGTCGGGGTGGGGGGTTGTTTGTTTTATTGTTATGTTACTTTTGTACACAATAAACGTTTTACATATATGTACGTCTGAGTGTTTTCATTCAACCCCTTCACCTTTAAGAAAAAGCTAAAGACCTATGACCTTAATGATGACAATGACGATGGTTTTGTTTGATAACAACGACTAAATATGGTTTCTATTCTGATTAGAACTCTCAAGAAGAGCCGTCAATGTTGGGCTCTGCCTCTGGTCACTTGCTGTCAGCACCTGTGCTCTGCCTCTGGTTTTTCTAGAGTCTGATGGGGCCCTAGGCAAACATTTAATGGGGGGCCCCTCCAACCAGCGTTCATCACCATGACATTTCCTCTGCCACAGAAGAGACAACTTCCTCCAAATCAGAGTGGTTCTTTCTGCGGAAAAGCCCCAGTTTGTTGCAGTATCTTTTCAGGGTCCTGATACTCATGACAATGTGGCGCTGATGTGCCAAAAGAATGTGTAGTTTCATAGCTGCATGCTGTAAGTAAAGCCCCAACACTATTTTGAGACCTCGTCAAACTGTTTTAAAGCAGGTCAGTTAATACACAGTCAATCCGTGTTACAGACTACACAAGGACCTACTTCCTTAGTCATTTTTATTAGTATAACTAAAGACTAAAATAACAACTTTAGTCTCATACATTTAAGGTTATTCTCGTAAATGTATGCCTTTAATCCCAAAATCTAAAAAAGGAATTCCCCTTAATGGGGCCCTAATACTCCTTTGTAATAACTTCAGAATCAGAATAGTACATTTACACAGGAGGAAGGAATTTGTCTTGGTGTTTTGGTGCACAAACAGTTAAAAGAAATAAAGTACAAATTGCAAGAATTTAAATAAAATCAAATATAAGAAGTAATTACAAATATATATATATATATAATAAGGTGCAGTATTAAAAGTCCAGTGAGCGTTAATGTAACGCATAAAAACAGTTTCAGCTTTCACATACTTCAATGCTGTCTGACTTGGGGGCTGGATGAGAGTCTTACCTGAACGCCTCAGGGTCCTGGAGGTGTACAGGTCGTGGAGAGATGGTAGGTTGGACCTCAGGGTCCTGGAGGTGTACAGGTCGTGGAGAGATGGCAGGTTGCAGCCAGTCACCTCAGCAGAGCGGATGATGCGCTGCAGCCTGCACTTGTCCTTTGCTGTGGCTGCAGCGTACCAGACAGTGATGGAGGAGAGGATGGACTCTGATGGCAGTGTAGAAGTGAACCATCATGGTCTTTGGCAGGTTGAACTTCTTCAGCTGCAGCAGGAAGTACATCCTCTGCTGTCCTTTCTGGATGAGGGAGATGATGTTCAGCTCCCACTTGAGGTCCTGGGTGATGATGGTCCCCAGGAAGCAGAACGTATCCACAGTAGACACCATGGATTCATCGATGGTGATGGGGGCGGCTGATTTTTTCCTGAAGTCCACAACCATCTCCACTGTCTTCAGAGTGTTAAGTTCTAGATTGTTCTCGCCACATCAGATGGTCAGCCTCCCACCAGAGATGAGTCCAATGAGGGTGGTGTCGTCTGCAAACTTTAGGAGCCTGACAGACTGGTGAATGGAGGTGCAGCTTTTGGTGTACAGGGAAGAGCAGAGCATTGATACAGTCAAATTATTAAATAAAAGTCCAATTTTTTTTCAAAATTATGAAAAGAAAACACTTCCTGTTCCTGTTATTGTATTCACCATGTAAAACTTGAGTTTGTTTAAGCATCAGATCAGTAAAGTTTGTAAAATGTCTGTTGTTTATTAAATGTTTGTATAGAAAAGAGGCAATAGGTTCACAATACTTGTGAGTGACATCAACAAACAAAAACAAACATTGGAACAGAGTGGTCAGCCTGGTTATACTATGGATCACGGCTGTTAGTGTGCATAACAATGTCAGTCCTTAAAGCAGAGTAGAACACGAAAGACAAAAGAGGAAACAATAAATAAATAAATACATACATCAATACAATAATTACAAGGCTTTATTGACAAACAGAGGCTAGCAGCAGGACAGAGCAGGATCTTCTTATTCAGGAACAAGTGGGACAGTAATCTTTTCTGCATAAACAAGGAAGGGGCCCCACACCTCTCTGAATTACGAGAGGATCATTTTAATGTATATCGCATTATTTTGAGTTTTAAGTTATTAAAAATCTCTTTTACCCAGAGGGTGTGGGAAGGGGGTGTTGTTGATTTCCACCTCATTAGAATGAGGCGTCGAGCCAATAAAGTAACAAAGGCGATTATATCTGATTGTGGTTTAGGTAAGGGCACCTGAGAGACACCAAACAAGGCAGTCATAGCATTAGGTTGTAGAAATGTCCCAGTTACCTCCGATAGAGTTTTAAAAATTGCAGTCCAATAATTATTCAAAGACTTGCAGGACCAGAACTTGTGGACATGGTTTGCAGGCATCTGGTGACATTTCTCACAGGAAGGGTCAACTGTGTCATAGACCTTGGAGAGTCTAACCTTAGTCCAGTGAGTGCGGTGAACCACTTTACATTGGATTAAGTCATGCCTGGCACAGATAGATGAGGTATGAACCTGTTTAAGAATTTCCCCCAGAACTCGTCTGAAATGCCCTCCCCCAGTTCCTCCTCCCAGAGAGCCTTCACAATATTCAAAGAGGTTGAGGATAGGGTTTGAATTTGACTATAAATATGTGAAATCATACCTCTTCTCATGATTGGGACTTGAATAAAGAAAGTATCTAGGGTTGTATCGGCAGGCAGGTTTGGAAATTGGGCATATGTATTGCGAGCAAAACTACGAGCTTGTAGGTATCGGAAAAAGTAACTCTTAGGAATAGAAAACAGCTCCTGGAGTTGTTTGAAAAGATGCAAATACATTATCGATGTATAAATCTAAACCGTTTAATGCCAAGATTGGACCAAATTGCAAAAGCACCATCAGATATGGAGGGAGGGAACGCAGGGATTTGCAACCAGAGGAGCATAGGTTGAGAAAATATGCAGACCAAAGTTATGCCTAAATTGGTTCCTTACGGTAGTTTTGACAATTATATTTTTAACATAGGAGGAGAAGAGTGGGCTGTTGATGGGGTAGTGTACCAAAGATATCAGTGACATGGGTTTCGAGGAGAGGGACTCCATAGCCAACCAAGAGGGGACCAAGAGGGGTGGGGGTGAAGCGTATCAGATCTGATCCAGCGCACAATTCTGAGGTTTGTAGCCCAGTAATAGAACCTAAAATTTGGTAAGGCCATCCCTCCAGAAGACTTTCAATTTTCTTAAAAAACTTTTGACTGATAAAAATCGGTATACATTGAAATAAATAGGAAAACTTTGGAAGAGTATTCATTTTAACACAATTGATCCATGCAGCTAAATACAGTGGGAGTAATGACCATTGATCAAAATCTTTCCGCATACGTGCTAAACGGGGCAAAATTTGCTTGAAAGAGATTTTTAAAATTGCTTGTAATTTGAATGCCAAGAGAAGTGAAGCAGTGATGAGATATTTTAAATGGAAAACTGTGTAGGGGCAAATTGTGTGCCGTTGCATTCAGAGGAAATAACTCACTTTTACCAAGATTGATCTTATAACCTGATATAAAACCAAAATATTGAGTGTGGTAAGTACAGCAAGGATGGATATAGGTAAATCGGAAATATATAGAAGAAGGTCGTCCGCATAAAGGGAGACTCTGTTCTCGCATCGGGATATCCCAGATATGAGGGGGTTAGAACGAAGCGCAATCGCAAGTGGATCCATTACTACGGCAAATAACAGGGGGCTCAGGGGACAACCCTGTCTCGTCGACCTGTGGAGAGGAAAATATTCAGAGCGCGTGTCATTCATTCTAACTGAGGCTTTGGGAGAAGAATAAAGAAGCTTAACCCAGGAAATTAACTTTTGACCGAAACCAAATCTGTCTCGTGTGTGAAAAACGTCGCCCCACTCCACATGATTAAAAGCCTGCTCGGCGTCCAAAGATATTAAAGCTTTTGACACAGTAGATGTAGGTGGGTTATAAATTGTATGAAACAAACGTCTTAAATTAAAATAGGTAAAGAATGTTCAGTACACACTCCACTGAGTTACAATCATACATTCACTCCTTCACTTTTAGATTCTACATTTAACCAATTGCACAAGATCTGTTTACTGATAAGATCTTTTCAACATTTTGTCAGTTACAGGTAAAATTCAGCATACATAATAGAGACTTCTTCAAATATTTGCAAATCCGAAGTTTTGTTAAGGAAAGGTTCCCGTCCTTCCCGGATCAGCCCCCCGAATGTATCATGAACTCAGTGCTCCTACCTGATCCATTAAAAAAAGGGTCTATATCTAAGATTTATAACAATCTGTCAAAAATGGACTGTACAGCCACACTTGAACATCTAAAAGTGGAAATCTCAGGAAACCAATGGAAAAACTCAGGATTGTGTGCACTCTTCATCTGTATGTACCAGACATGGACTGATGCAATTCAACATTTTACACTGTAAACCCACTCTGTGATCGTTGTGGACAGGCACCGGCCTCACTGGCACATATGTTCTGGACTTGACCAAGCATTGCCAACTACTGGATCAAGATATTCCAAAATGTATCTGAGATTTTCCAGAAACATATCAGTCCAGACCCAGTTCTTGCAATGTTTGGGGTTGGGTCAGCTGCTATGGAGCTCTCTTTATCAAACAACCAGAAGAATGTGATATGCTTTGTGACGCTGTTAGCAAGAAGAATAATTCTGCTGAACTGGAAACAAAAAAATCCTCCAGTTTATCAGGCTTTAATGAATGATGTAATGAAGCATTTGCAGTTAGAAAAAATAAAATTTACCCTGAGAGGAAAGATAAATATGTTTTACTCAATATGGCAGCCATTTATAGACTACTATAACAAAAACAACCCCATGAAAAAATAATAATTTAGTAAAATCAAGAGCACTTGACATCCTCCAAGTTGTATTATTATTACTATTTAAATCTCTTTTTTTTTATCTTATTATTTTGGTATTATATTTGTTTTTACTTTTTTTTTAATATATCTTGAGGTATGAATAAACATGTCTGAGATTGTT